ACCCACAGATTGCGAGTCGAGCGCCCTAACCTCCTGGCCATGCCGGGCCAGACAATGAAGAGGTATCCGTCTAGAATTTGTTGAATAATTTACATTTTTGCGTAATAATATAGTGTCATAACACATTCATAAGCTAAGTGAAAAGTGTTATAACAAAAATGTTCTTAATGCAAAAACCATTCAAAATGTAGACATTGAAAACATATAAGTATTTTTTATATTTTAGAGAATGAAACCAGTTTAGAATATTGTTGTCACGTTTTCATAAAATTATCAGTAACACTAGAAAAAAGTGCGTGAAAGAGTATGCTGTTCATTATCACATCACAAGATGTGTAAAACTGTTCTTACAATGCCGTTTAGTGTGAAGCAAGAAATTATTTCTAATTCTCAATTGTTCGAGATTTATTTATAAAAAAACAATATTCTGACTATTTTAACTTCAGTACGTTTGGTGTCGCTGTGATTTGTTCGTGATTCCTAGAAAATAAATGGGATTGTTTCTTCCATTCTTTAACACGTTGTTTCTTAACACAATTATAGTGTTATCGCTAATCCCACATAATCCGAAAAGCTGACAACACTATCAAAGCCTCTTTCGCCTTCTTTTTCTCAGAAATGTTCCTAAAACCAAAGTATGCTGTCAACCCGACAGAAACAGAGACTACACAATTTTATTTTCTTCAGTCTTTTCAGTTGGAAAAACAAGCGAACTGACGTGCGTAATCAACCCAAAATTGCTATTCTAATAATTATTCCTTTTCTGAACAGTAAAGTTTTAGCTTTGTTCGGAAAAAATCCACTTTCGTACTAAAAGACAGTTGTAAATTTTTCAAACATAAATGTAATTTTTTAAATGGAGGTTGTTGTATTTTTGCAGCCGTATTTAGGAATTTATTTTCAAATACTGTAAATAAAAAATAGTAATTGTGAAACAAAAATTGATGCAGGAACATTATATATATCAGTCATTCAAAGAATTGTTAATTTCTAAAACTTTAATAACACAAAAATATGTCCACAACTTGTTAATCTCCAAAACTTTAATAACAGGATGGCATGTCTATTATTTTTCATATCTCTAAAACTTTAATAACAAAAAGATATGTCAGTTATTTGTTCCAATTTCTAAGCTGTAATAACGGAAGATAATCCATTACGAGTTCAAATCTCTAGCCTCTAATAACAGGAAGACTTCTCCATTACTAATTCAAATTTCTAAAACTGTAATAACAGGAAGATGTGTCCATTATTTAAATAAAAGTCCAGAGATACAGTTTTTAAATGGATTATTTATTTTTGTTTAACTTTATTACAACGTTTAGACCACTCGTGTGGCCATCGTCAGGTAACTATCGTCTATTGTGTGAAATACTGCACGACCCTTTTTACTAGTTTATAAAACATATAGGGTGTTTGGTTTAAATTAGGTTTTAGTTCACGAATAATTAATATTTATTTTATTTTTATCTATTAATGTTGTTCTCATTGCATAATGTTTTAAAGTTGTTAGTGTTGATTGGATGTTGATTCATTCTGCTGTGTTAGTAAATGTGTGATGGTAGATTGTTATTTGATCCTAATGCTTATGATGCGTACCGTTTCGCCTATGTAAGTGTTATCGCATCGATCGCATTGATACTTTAGATGCTTCCGCCGTTGAAGTTGTCAAAATAAACTTTCCTTGGATGACCTTTGATTTTAGAGCTCGGTTTTTGAATAAAAATAACTTTGCACTTTATATTGTGTTTTTTTTTTGTATGCTTGTTTCCAAATGTTTATGATGCTTTTGGTAACATAGCCATCATATGGTAAGACACCTATTAATGTGTCTGAGTTTGTGCATTTTGTTTCATTCATGGCGTTTAACTCGTTTTCCCTTTCGTTTTTTCTGTTATTGAGTTTGTTTTTAATATTTAATTAAGGTTCTTGTGACAATATGTTTAGAGAAGTGACATTTGTTAATAAATATTTCAGATATTGATTTATAGTTCATGTTGCAGATTACTGCTGCTGCATATGCTAAATTGTTGTGTTGTAAATGCATGATAACGTGCCAATTTTTTGTTGAGTCGAGTAGGCTGAGTCCCACTTTATATAGTAGTTATCATTACCAGATTTCTCGAATATTTTTGCGTTAAAACTGTTGGAATTGGTTTATGTTATATTATGTTATGTTGTATACATTATGTTAATGTAATTTAAAACTTGGTTTCATTCTCTTCTTTATATGAGTGAATTTGATGTTAGAATAAACGTTGTTTACGTGTTTTAGAAATGACTGTCGATGGTTATCTTCAAATCCATCGTCGACGCATCTAAACAAATGTCTGGGAGGATGTAGAGCTGTGTTAATGGTCTGACTTTCTAATCTGTTGAAAAACAATTCATATAATCCAGGTGACAGAGGGTTGCCAATGCTTAGGCCGTCTATTTATTATTAAAATAATTGCATCAACTTTTATTCATGGACTATAAAAATCATATTTTTATATGTAAAACTGAATGTATTTTTACAAAACTAAGCATGATATTTTCCAACTAATTTCTTAACATACCTAGCAAAATACTGTTTAATAAACTAGTAGCAAAAAGACCAGATGACTATGGCAAAACCAACAAAACCGACAAAAACAAGTTTATAAAAATATATTATTATGTCGGTGTAGCATACGATGTTTCACTTTCCGACCAGTTTTCAAGGAAATATCTGTATATCACTTACAAAAGAGCAAAAATATCACGTATGATCACGTGATGAGGAACTAAAATAATATCTGTTGTCACCCAATTACAAATCTAAATGCAGTAACGTAAGTTATATTGTAAAAAAGCTTATTACAGTGGACGTGTGTGTGTATATATGGAAATGAATAAAAAAAATTGGGAGGAGAATGCATCATCAAGTGAAGTTTTGGTATATAAACCAGAACAAAATCATACTGCTACACTCACAAACACATAGACAAGTGAACTAGTGACAGTAAAACCATAATTTTGTTCCTTTTTGTTTAAGAAAAAAATTATAATGTGTTCTCAGAGTCTTAAAACTGAAGAAGGATCTTGAAACCAAAATGGTGCCTGTTGTTAAATCTATATTTAAATAAAGAGTAGTAGAGACGAATAGGATTTTTAAAGCTATTCCATATCTAAAAACGTACCTTTGGTTATTTTTTAACCATTAAGACTGTTTTTGTGTTCTTCCAAAGCAATTACAGTTGTGTTTCTCTGGAACAATATATATATATATATATATATATATGTGTGTGTGTGTGTGTGGTGTGTGTGTATAATTGATTCAAGCTACTTAGAACACTAAACACTAAGTACAAGATGCAATAATTATACAGAATACAAAGGCATGCTATTGTGTCATTAGTCTACCATTAGCTAGACGATGCACTCCATTTATAAACACGTGTACATACACACATCTGCTACTAAGATTTAAAACTTGTAAAGGATCGGTATGTTTACCCTGTATATAGTAAATGATACGTTTTTAATATAATATTCATCAATTCTATGTGACTATCCAGATAAAAACTAATATTATGCACTTTTCCAGGTTTATTAAAGAAACTGTTAAATTGTGCCAATACTTTTATATACAGCGACGGCAGTTTCGTTATTTTTCTTAACGTATACACCAAAATACGCAAATATCTAGAAAACCTATAATGCAATAATGATATACTTATATTTCTTCATTTTGAATTTTCTTAACCCTATTAGCTATTGAAGTTAGTATTTAGTCATCAAAATTCTGCCAAATCTAATACTGTATTGTTTTAAAAGGTGTATGTATACGCAATAAAAGCAAAACGGGATCAGTTTCTTTGGCTTGAGTCCAGAAGATCGCTAATGAGCTTCCAAACCTAGCCTCATGTCGTTGCAGACGTCTTCACGTTCCTTTTGGTAATCAATAATCGGAAGTGGTTGGTTCCTCAGCTCTGACGCTCTTAAAGGGGGCGCTAACAGTAACAAGCTTGGCAAGTCTCTGCACGCGGGCTTCCCTGTCAGACAATCTCTCCTCTTCTATCAAATATCGTCGATGATAACAGACTGTTATCTTCTGAGCTACAGCTTTTATATAAGTTCGTTGAAAGATGGTATTCAAATAACCAATCTGTTTCACAACAACTTGATCTCGCATGAATAGACAATGACAGCTTTTGAACAGGAACAATCGCTTGGAATACACAATAATAATTCTTATCATGATAAGGGCGAGAGTGATCGAAGCAATGAAACTTTACTTTTGGAGGAACAGTCTTGGGAGACAATGGCTACCGTGGTACCAAAATCCCTGGCTATGTGTACTATCATGGTGTGTGCTGTCTTCGGGAATTTGTTGGTTATTGTAAGTGTTTTCCGACACCGTCGACTCCATGTTACTACCAACTATTTTATTGTATCATTAGCTTTTGCTGACACGTTGGTAGCTTTATTCGCCATGACATTTAACGCTAGTATGACAATGGCCGGGAAATGGATCTTCAATCAGACCACATGCGACCTGTGGAACTCCTGTGATGTCCTTTTCTCTACAGCATCAATAATGCATCTTTGTTGTATTAGTGTAGATAGATACTACGCCATTATAAAACCATTACAGTACCCACTTAAAATGACCACTGTCAGAGTTTCTATTATGCTCACTTCCGTGTGGGTATCTGCAGGATTGATTTCTTTTATTCCAATATTTCTGGGCTGGTACACGACAACAGAACACCTGAAGTTTCGAGAGTTGAACCCAGAATCTTGTGAGTTTATTGTTAACAAACCATATGCTATAATTTCATCTAGTGTATCCTTTTGGATACCTTGCTTAATCATGGTATTCACTTACTGGAAGATCTATATGGAAGCCACACGACAGGAGAAAATGATCTACAAAGCGCAAACAGGCCTTGGACCTCCAAATAGTGCCCGAAACAGCACTGATACAACTGCCCGCAGTAGCAGTGACCAGACAGCTTCAACAAACTTACTGGCACCTCCACCACATCGGACTTCATGTGTTGATGACTCCGAAAGTGGACGTTCGACTCCCACAAAGCGAGCAATAAACAAGATGAAACGCGAGCATAAAGCAGCCAAGACTTTAGGAATCATCATGGGAGCTTTCATTCTTTGCTGGTTACCTTTTTTTCTCTGGTATGTGTCGGTAACATTGTGTGGTGACAGCTGCTATACCCCAGAAATTCTAGTGGATACCCTGTTCTGGATTGGATACTTCAATTCTGGACTCAATCCTATCATTTATGCCTACTTTAATAAGGAATTTCGAGAAGCTTTTAAGGAAACACTTCAGTCCATTTATTGTAAATGCCATTGGCCAAAGTGGCAGGTCATTCACAGACAAACCAATGTTTGTAACATTGAATGTACTCATGTATGAAAGTAACGCTAGTCAATATTTGAAGACCATCGGAAAAGCAATAGTTCTCTATAAAAATATATATAAGTTTGTGTGCAGAAAATATACATTTTACCTACGCTTCGCTCTTTTTTCTCAGTTCGCTTTACAAATTACGATACTAGAATGTTTAGTTAAAGACAGTTCGCAATTACAAAAACGGTAAGTATTTGGAAAATTGATATTTTTACTTTAAGATAATAAAAAATGTAGAGAATAATCTACATTTATAAATATAATATTAAAGCTTCTTTCATTTTTCAAAAACTCTGTTTTCTAATATTGTTGTATACTGTTTTCATGCAAAAAATGTTTGTTCTTTCATCCATTTTAGAAGTAATTATCTCTATTGCTAAGTGTGTATAACAAAAATTCGACGGATGTGAAGATGTTATGCTTAAAACAGCCTTACCTAATAGTACAGTGCTCTGGCATAACAAAATGAGCATTCTTGCCATAGAGTTAACATTGAGGATATCAATCTTCAATGGAACAAAAGCCCAAAACTGAGCGGAAACAGACCAATCAGTACCTGGTAGCTTCGCCTTTTCCATGTTCGAAAGGGTTCATGTTCAATATGAATATCACGAGCGGGGAGATATTATATGTATTTCTGACAATACCACTGCTTTTAGAGTTGCTCATACTCATATGTAAGTACTGTATTTTTGCAGAAAGAGAATATAACTCATAATGTTTATTTCAAAAAAAAAAGTGGGAAAGAAATAGCTGAAGGATTGTAGAGAAAATTCTCCGTAGATTTTCCTGAAAAGGTTTCTAACAATAGAAATTTAAGGTAATCTGCATATTTAATGGAAACTTATTGACAATAATCAAGTAAAATTCTCTGATGATTATATGTAAACATTTTTATGAAGCAGCTAAATGAAATCTTATTGCTATAACTCTGATAGTCTTAGCAGTAAAAAAAATATTAGAAGTCGTATAGTATTAAACGTTATGCTACATTTTCAAGAAAAAGCATTATCGTCAGTAAATTTGTTTTGGTCAATTAGTAAAATATCCAGCGATGTATCATGACATTTTAGTTACAAGTCATAAAACCATTTTCTTATTTATCACCTGAAATATTTTAAAGCTTTATATTAATAGTTATTTTCAGAAAATCGATGTTTTATTTTGTTTTTCATGTTGAAAATAACTTTTTATGGAAAGCGGTAGCAGCAGTTCTGTGCGATCATCAGAAATGATGAAATATATAAGAAAATCTTCAGTTTTCAGCATGTGAATGTATTCCTGCATATATTACTTTCAAATAATATGAAATGATATTTTTAGAATGTATCAAGGAATATAATCTCATTATTATTGCTGTTAATTGAATTTAATATCTGTGCTTCTTGTTTATGTACCTGGTGGCGCAACTGTCAAACTTCATAACGCTTAAAATCGGATTTCGGTATCCGCTATGGGCAAAGCACAGTTAGCCCAATGTGTAGCTTTGTGCCCAACAACAAACAAACAAAAAAGAATATTCTTTATTTAAGAACATCATCTTTAAGGCGGAATTACTTTTCAATGACGTTCTAAATAATTAATTTTATTTAATTAGCTCAATATTTTTGTAGTATTTTTACAGTGGATAATTAGGAGGTAGATAGTGATTCTTTCTTTCTCGAAGTACGTGAAGCTGCTAGCATAATTTATGTATCTTTAATAGTGAATATTAAAAGACATATTTAATATGTCTAATATTATATTATTATAGTACTAATATTATACAAATCATATGGGAACGTAATTTTTCATGTACCTCTAATTGCGATTGGCAGAAGTCAGATTGTGGTAATGTTAGGCAACTCATATATAGCAGTATTTGTTGTTTTTTGAGTATCTCTAATTATGATTAATAGAAGATGGATTGTGCTAATGCTAAAGGCAACACACAGGGTTGTAATTTATTTTTATGTATCTCTAATTGTTACTGATAGAAGACGGACTGTGATAAAGCTAGAGTAATCATATGAGGGTGAAATGTTTCATGTATATTTACTTGTATTTGACAGAAGACAGATTGTGCTAATGCTAAAGGCAACACACAGGATTGTAATTCATTTTATGTATCTCTAATTGTTACTGATAGAAGACGGACTGTGATAAAGCTAGAGTAATCATATGAGGGTGAAATGTTTCATGTATATTTACTTGTATTTGACAGAAGACAGATTGTGCTAATATTAGACGAAACATATCGAGCTATAACTTTTTATGTATCTCTAATTGTTACTGATAGAAGACGGACTGTGATAAAGCTAGAGTAATCATATGAGGGTGAAATGTT